ATTTCAAAAATTCTTACTTTTATGAAACTTACACACTTGTAGGGAGTCTAAATGGATAATTAAAAATTTTTTATAAGTAAAATTTCTTGATATAAAAAATGTGTTTAATGATAAGGACACATTTATTTAATCACCTTAATAATATTTTTAAAAAATAATTTTTTCAAAGATTTAAAAAAAATTTCTTTCCAAAATTATTAGAATCGTTTTCGAGTCGAAACTAAAAATTTCTAAAAAATCATCTATATATCTCTCCTATTTGTGTGTAAAGTTTCATTAAAATCAGAATTTTCAGATTCTCTTATAAGTTATTTTAGAATCGTGATTATTGACATGAATATAAATTCTTCAATTCTTATAATAATTAATACAAAAAATAATATTTTTTGTTCATTGCTGCGCAATATTGTGTATTATCATTATTTATAATTGTATCAGAATGATTCTTCAATAATATGAAAAATTTCTGTTATTGAGAAACACTAAATCTGCAAATAAATATGTTTAGATTAAAAGAAGTGTTTGTTTAATTGGAAGAGAGAGAGCCTTTATTAAGATTAATTTTATTACATCCAGCAAATGCAATTAATCTAATCATTCCAAATAAAAAAATTGCCAATATTCATCAGCTGATTAATGTCAAACACAAAGTTATCTCATTATAGATAAGATACTTGTTTAAAAAAAAGACAGCCGTGTTATAATACTAATTATTATTGTGATAAATATAAAATACAGTGTGGTAAATATATATTTTTAGCTTTACATTTCTCTCTCATAAATAACTTCTTATCTATCTATCTTATTAATGTGCATAATATATATATATATATATATATATATATACATATATACAATATATGTATAGAAATATAAATATTAATATATAAGTTATAAAAAAATTATATTTTATTATTATAACTAAAAATTATTTAAAAATAAATAAATAATTAATATATAAATTCATGTATAATATAATATAATAAACGTTTTATCATCTATTTATCATTACAACATTGAATACGCATTACTTAGTTAATACTTGCATTGCAATATTTTAATCGATGCCATTAATTGTCATTATTTGTTATTTAATATCCTAGTAGAATTCAATTTTTTTGTGCTGCAAGAAATGCTGTTTTGATAAAATATTTTTATTCTTTTTTACAAAGTTTCTCAATGATCGCTCGATCGCTCGATCCTAGACCTTTCGTCTATGCTTATGCCTTAGTCGGGGGAAAAACTGGTACAATTGCTTCTTACATTCTATTGTAAGAAAAGAGACCATGTAATTTATGAACGCGTTCGTTAATTCGGATGCGGAAATGTATTACTGTCCGTCGAATCACATGTATATATGTATAAAAAATGGAGCAAATTCACTGAAATGATCATTCGTTCTCTCATGCATCATCTTACATATTTATGGTGCTTCTAATGAGCGCCGTTTTGAGAATCCGCATTCTCGCCGCATTACGCATCTCGGTGAAGATGAAGAAAAAAAGAAATGCCGCGGCTGATGCATTTGTACTGGCGTGAAATTAAAGTTAAAGTATATCATCATCGATGACATCCATGTTGGAATCTTTCCTTCATATTTGCAATAATATATTTATCACCTAACGTAACTAAGGAATTCGTTAAACATTCCGGATCGAATTTTTTCCTTCTATTTTCAGCCTCGATTTTCTCACGTTTATGGATTCTAAGGAATCTCGCTGGATTTCATTTATATAGAAATTGCGAAATTATACTTTAGTGAAAAACAGCTTGTAAACATTTATAGAAATTGTGAAACATTATTTTATCAGTGAAACACAGTTTATTGCCTGTATTAAAGGTTTACAAGATAAACTTTTGGCAAAACTATAGATTCAATAAAGTTTCAAAAGTTTCAGAATGATTGTTTAAAATATCAAAGTAGATGTTTGAAAATTTTAAGATTAAAATTAAAAGTAGAAAAATTTCAACACTTGAGTAAAAAAAGGTTTGTTTGAAATCGAATAATTAATAATAGATAATAAAAAAAGAAATATTTTCTAAAATCTAATTTTTCTTATTAAGTCTCACCTGTCATTATTTCATATATTCATCGAATATGAATCAATTTTTCCACATTTATAGATACTAAAAAATTTCGTTAGATTTAATAATTTATATAGAAATTATAAAGTCCTATTTTAGTGGCAAAAATAAGTTTATTGTTTATTAGAGTTTAAAAAAAAGAAGTTTTAGCAAAACTATAGATTAAAATTGAGATTAAAAATAGAAAAAAAATTTGACAATCCGACAGAAAGTTTGTTTGAGACCAGATAATTAGTGATATAGAGAGATCAGATAATTCATAATATAGAATAAAAAAAAATATTTTTTTTATATTCATCGAATTTGAATCAATTTTCCAATTTTATATGAGTTCTAGACAATTTTAATTTATAATAGGTGATTTAATTTATATAGAAAATTGAAGTCCTATTCTAGCAGCAAAAAAAGAATAGTAAATGAAAATTGCGAAAACTTCGACAACTCGGGAAAGGAGAAAGTTCGTTCGGGCCTAGATAATTAATAATAAAATGAAAAAAAAAAAAAATATTTTTCGAAATCTAGTTTTCCTTATTCGGTCACCTGGAATCGCTTCATATTCATTGAATCCGCAATTATACCGGTATATAAATTCCGCCGCGGGATATCAGATTTCTACGCATAGAAATTACAAATTTTCCGCTTTTCCGTGCCGATTGCTTTTTTCACGCGTGCGTAATTTTTATTTCCCGCTGGGAATATCATGTAAATATTCAACCTGCTCCTGTGGTCTCTCCATCTTACTGTCTGTTCCTCTTTTGCACGCTTTCTATTACTTTCTATCGCGCTGAAAGATTCTCCGCGCGCGTTCGCGGGTAGATAACGGGCGTTAAATAATTTCCGCGAGGGAGAGACGGAAAGTACTTTAAGCCAGCGCTATCTGCGGGTCGCGCCAACAAAAGGAACGAGAGGAACCGTTCGACAAGAAACCGATGAAGGGTTTATCTTAATCCACGGTTGACCGAACAGACGAGCTCTTCGTTCGATGCTCTTTCTCTCTCATTCTCCCGGAAACCACCCCTTTCATCGTTTATGCCCGTCCCCTCTATAGCACGTAACCGATCACACTTGGCTTGTTTTACTACGTATTTTTTTCTCCTTTTTTTTTATCGTCCGGACCACTTATAATCGGGACTGGTACAAAAACCCCTTAATCTCGATGTTTTTGCCCAAATCTCAATCTGAAGTTGATGCATTACATTCTCTAGCGCCGTTTTCGATCTATCAATAAATTATTTATATCACTTTAACATATTTTCGGAACACAGTTATTCCTCAACTGCGATTTAACATACCGAGAAACCGTAGGTAATTAAAGTCATTGCATTGCAATCGCGATAGGCTCCAGTAACAGCGGTAGAGGAAAAAAAAAGCAGCTTAAACGTTCTGTGACGTTCGGACCACTTCCGGAAACCCACCCGAGAGATTCTGAATTCCCGAAGAAAAACGCTTAACGAAGTTATCGGCCGGCTGCGGGCGGCCATCGTCGGGTCAAAAAAGGCCCGGCAAGAACTGGCGAGTCGGAACGGACCGATCAGCTGATGTTGACGTTTTCCCATAGAGAAACGTCGCGCCGTTTTCATTGCGGCCGGCGGCAAAAATTGCGGAGAGGAAAAGTCCGACGAATCGATTCGAAAGGATGTTTGTCCGAGGATCCATCGGCTATCCGGATGCGGACACCTGTAACACCGTGTTCGCGACGTCACGTGCCCGGGTGTTGCTGTGACGAAAGAGATCCCCCCTGTTGACGGAGATCGCGCAAAAAGCGGATCGGAATAAAAAGCCGATCGGGCTCGCGCTGTTCCTGAAACCTAGGGAAGGCAGGACGGAGGAAGGAAGGTTCCCGCGTACTTCTTGAGCGCGCTATGGAGAAACATTAAAGCGAGAACTCGTCGTTAGATCGTGAGATTTGCGGTTGGACGACGCCCAGCCCGACACAGTTCTTGTCCTCGATAATCCTCAGTCAATCATTTATCGCTTCTTCTCGTCGTCGTAGCGTAAATCGATTGCAATTCTCTCGCGCTACATAGTTTGTCTATACGTGAAACAATATCGATACGTTCCGTAAGAGAAAAAGAAAATTAGAAAGAATATGGTGATTTATTTAACTCTTCTGTCAATGAATGTTGGCTAAACGCCTCCTGTTTTATCGATAAAACATCATTTTCGCGCACCCTTTTCTTTTTACTGGTTAAATAGAATAATAAATGCTTTCCCACGATTAAAGAATGTATAAAAACGAAGCGTGGATCTACTGATTTTGTGTTAAAAAAAAAAAAATTAAAATTGTCTCTTAACATAAAATCGATAGCTTTGTGTCGGAACTTATTTCTGCTCGAAAAAAAAATCCAAAGAGTTTTTTGGTTTTACCGACTTTGAGTTCAAGGGCTTTTTTTTATTGGCTATACAGATTGAAAAATCCTTCTCCACAATTAAAGTACTGATAATAATGAACGGGGAGCGCTGTAATTTCGTATAAAAAGAACAATTAAAGTTAAGTATTAGTTTTTTATCGGCCTCTTGCATCAGCTCATAACAATACTTATTTAATACAAAAGTTCTGCAGTTTATTTGTGCACAAAATATGGCGTTCCCAAAAGAGATGACATGAAAGAATAATACAGCAGTAATAAAAATGAGATTAAAAGCCTGTATCAAAAGATTCTTCAATCTGTATATTCAATAAAAAACGAACCTAACCTAACTTAAAGTCGGTAAAACAGAACAACGGCAGCATCCCCTTAAAATATAACGAGAAAAAATCTTTGATGCCCAGCAGCTGCTATAAAAAAATTATCAGTGCAATGTACCGAAAACACGCGATTGATATCCATTTCTATACGAAAGAATGAAAAATTATGCATCGACAGAAGGGTTTATTCTTCACTCACGCGCAGGAAGGCTAAATGGCAACTTACTTTCGTCAAACACCGCGTAAGTAAATCGTGGAAGTGTCTCATCAGCTTGTTCGGCAAACCCCACCAAGGTGTACACGTTAAGTGTAGCTCCAGAACGAATGTACCCAGCTCTCTCTTTCTCTCTCAATCAGATCCATAGTCAGCATGACTTCGCGATCCGCACCCTCGACCACCGGGACGATGTCCCGCTGACTATTTATCTTGTTACATCGAAGTGATCCGATTCTAACAGGAGATCAATGACGGCTGACCACCGCGACTTCCCGCCTTGCATGGGACTCCTCGCGGAAACGTAACAATGACACAACAGGCTCGTCGTACAAAGAAAAAAAATCGTCCTTCTATTGTCCACGTGTGCCGTCTTCTTGATATTTTTCCTGCAATAAAAAAGAAATTTAATTAAACGATCTAAATATTAAATGTATAAAGATCAGTCATTGTATCATATGACTTTGCTCTCTCATTGTGTTCGGTCTTCATCAACCGGGCATTGACATACTTTATAGCTTAATAATAATTCGAAGATTAGTGTGTGTACGTGTGTGTGTCACATTTAATTAATTACGAAATATATGGAGAAGATTGTATCGAAACTTATCTCGTCCCACGTATCTTTTGATCAAGCAGCCGGATATATATATATAGGGTGTATCTAAATAAGTGCGAACATTTTTAGGAGATAATTCTTTGTCAAAAATTAAAAAGGTTTCTTATAATTTTGTTTCTTAAATTTCAGACAAATTAAAAAAAATGAAGCCTGGTGGATATTTGCCACTAATAAAAAGAATATTAATATTTTTTTAAAACTTAATTTTTACCTCCCTCTTTAGAAAAGTGTAACTCCTCAGGGAGGAATATAAGAGTATATGTTTATATAAGAAACGAAAAAAGAATCATCTCCTCAAATTTTTCGCACTTATTTAGATACACCCTGTATATAACGCGACCGGTCGTGCAATGTCCGATGGCGATGAATCAATAATGCAGAAACAAACCTTTCGGAATGGCGGTATAACGTGCATGCGGACACTTAAGGCGGGCGACAGAGGCCATGTGTTACTAATAATTGTGTTCGATAGTCGACCGGCAAATATTTATTGCTACTCACTGGTCGGTGAATGTAAACGGGCCGGACCGCTCTAATGGAGAACACCTAATTTCGCCCACGCTGTCGCGCGATCGAGTCGAGGAAATTAATTCGTCCTGTACGTCCATCTTTTCTGACGATACCAGCGTCGGAGATATTTTCGTGAGTCATCGCCGGCCGTTCTGATCGAAATATATAGTATGACAGATATATATAATGATTATTTAACGTAATCAATTTTTTGTATGTCTTTGAAAAAATTCTTTGCAGCACAAATGACAGTTTTTAATACAAGGTACACTATTGCTCAAAAGTATTTGCCCACCTTTAATTTAAGAGAAAACTCGAAAATTTTTTTTACTTTATAAGGACTTTATGAGGCCGGAAAGAGTAATAGACAAATTTTATAATAATTTATAATCATTATTTTATAGTCATTTATAGTCATTAATTTATAGTTATTTATAGTCATTAATATAAATTAGTTATTTATAGTCATTAATTTATAGTTATTTATAGTCATTAATATAAATTAATGACTATAAATAACTATAAATTAATGACTATAAATGACTATAAAATAATGATTATAAATTATTATAAAATTTGTCTATTCTTCTTTCCGGCTATAAAGTCATTTAAACACAATTTACCTAGGTAGGCAAATACTTTTGAGCGGTAGTGTACATCTGGATAGAAATTTACAACTATAAAAAGGAGTTAATTTCTCGCGCAAGCATTTTTTTTTTTTTTTCAAAAAAGTGATTTTTAATAATTTATTTCCCTGTTTATTTACATTTTTTTATTATAATCCTACAATTATCTAATTTCGTGATATCAGGCGAAGTATGATGTGTGTCGCGGGTTAATTATCGACAAACTGCGAGACAATTTCTTTCGGACGCTAATCAACTAACAGCGTCCGAGAAAAGTACACGACAAGTCGGGATAATATGGATAAACAACGGCGAAAATGCTAGGGCGGACCAGAGGCAACAAGAACCGGAACGCATGTCAACCCGTCATCATCGCCGAAACGTCAGTAGGTGTTTGGCCAGGTCGCTAATGTAATATTGTTTGCGGGAGTATCGGATGTAGACAGCGAGTAACCCAAAGGCAAAGAGAATCGCTAAGAAAGTCTCCAAAGCTTTATGGCCAGGATATTTCTGATCGTCCTCATTAAACGGCGAAAATTTCTCTCGCGAAACTCCCCGACGCAATATATTCTTTTTCTTCATCAGATACAAATGAAATATCTTTCTACAAGTATTTACATCATTTTAAATAAGATATTAAAATTACAAATGCATGCTTTTTGTATTTTGGGTTTATTATGTTTTTGGGGTAAATATGAGATTTTTAAATTCTAAGTTTTATGTATAGGATTTTGCATATGTATATTCATTTGTAATTTTAATATCTTTAACGTGATATATCTCGAGAATAAAATGTCGTAACGATTAAAAATTGATTTTTAAGAGGAAGACTAGTACTCTAATATCAAAAATATTAAAAAAAGTGTTGTCTCTAAAATAAAGTTGGCATTAAGTTGGCAAAAATCGTCATTTTAGACATTTACTTTTATTTGCCAAGGAAACCTGACGTGGCTCAAATACTGAGACTAGATTCAGCTCACAAAATTATGTCCCATACAGCACAAAATATTATGAATGTTTTCAAAAAATATTTCTATAAAATATTGCATAAACACATTTTAAAATGATTTAAAAATTTTTTGTGATAACATTTGTTTGAATATTTTAAAAAACTTTAAAAAATATTTTTAAAAATGTTTTTATTTATCACTCAGATAATATTTTCTTAAATATTTGATATATATTTTTGAAAAATTAATTTAAATCTGCATTCAAAAATATTTTATAAACATGAAAAAGCGGACATAGAAACATTTAAAAAACATTTCCGAGAATTATTTCAAAAGATTTAAAAAATATTTTGTGCTGTATGGGTAGGACACCAAATGTCAAATCTCGAAGCCCCGCAAATCTGTTGTTTTAAAAATTATTTTTATCGAACATTTTTTCTCGTTATATTTTAGGTTCTTGTAATAACATATTTTTGAATATTTTAAAGAACTTTTAAAAATATTTTAAAAATGTTCTTATTTATCGCTCAGATAATATTTTCTTAAATATTTGATACATATTTTTGAAAAATTAATTTAAATCTGCATTCAAAAATATTTTATAAACATGAAAAAGCGGACATAGAAACATTTAAAAAACATTTCCGAGAATTATTTCAAAAGATTTAAAAAATATTTTGTGCTGTATGGGGTAGGACACCAAATGTCAAATCTCGAAGCCCCGCAAATCTGTTATTTTTCAAAAATTCTTTTTATCCAACATTTTCTATCTCGTTATATTTTCGGAGGTTTCGAATACAACAGATATACTTGAACAACTATGACTAATATAGTTACGAGAGTTGCAGCACTCACTTATTAGGAATACGCTGTCTCGAGCAGCTCGCGTTGCATCCTCAGACCGCAACGTTGATCAATTCGTTTCTTCTCCGTTCGTTCGTCGAGATCATTTAATGGCTCCGCTTCTTTCCTCCGCGGTGCCGTTCCGTCATCGACTTCCGGACGTGTCCGCGGCCAACCGTTTCGCGACGCCGTAACTCGTGCCGATCGGCGGCAGATTCGCGTGACCGCAAAATGCGCAAAATGCATTCACGGTGCCTCCCACCTGGAGATTTTTGCGCCGCGGCATTTTAATGTCCCGCGCACACGGCAGCCGTCGTCGTTTCGTTCTCTGTAATTTAACGCCCCGCCGACCGGCCGTAGTTCGCACGTGCTGTAAATAAAACGAGAAGTGTGTTGCGTGAAAAAAAAGGCGCATTAAAAACGATCCGCAATTACATTTTATAAAAATCGCAATACGCGCTCGACAATTTCGTCTCTGTGTAATAAGGTAGCAAAGAAAACACGTGTAAAAAGTATGTAATTTGCAGCTAACCAGATACGTATTTTTTTCTTCAAAACAAATATTTTGCGCATAAAAGTATTCAGAAGTAAGATCATAAAAAAGAATATTTTAGAGTTTGCATAAATTACATCAAATTAATGAAATATCGTAAATTATTCGAAATTTTTAACTATTCTATCCCTTATAATTTTTATGTGGAATATTGATTTATATATATATAAGAAAAATTGATTTATATAAATAAAAAATTAAGATGGTTCCATTTAAGAAACTGATATGACGCCCTTAAAACTCTACAATTATTACCTTAAATATTTTTTAAATATTTTAGAGTTTGCATAAATTACGTCAAATTAATAAAATATCGTAAATTATTCGAAATTTTTAACTATTCTATCCCTTATAATTTTTATGTGGAATATTGATTTATATATATAAAGAAAAATTGATTTATATAAATAAAAATTAAGATGGTTCCATTTAAGAAACTGATATATCTCCCTTAAAACTCTACAATTATTACCTTAAATATTTTTTCTAAAACTCCTTGATTTCCAAATTTATTTAAAGATTAAAATTAATTATCATAATTTTTTTTTTAAATTATTTCTTAAAGTTTGCTAAGATATAGCAATATTAAAAATTGAAAGAGAGAAGAATGATAAGCATATCTCGAACTATTGCATCAAACTATAGCATAACAGATATGCGCAAAAAAAAAAAAGATAATCAGTTATTTAGGAAAAAACAAGGATTGAGCGTGAAAACCGAATCGCTTCTCGATTCGGATGGCCGAGCGTTAAAAATTAAATTAGAACGTATTTTATAATCGCATCTAGCGATCGATTAGTCACACGATCGTAGATCAGATGATCAATGACCGCCCACATAGTCGAACGGATTATAAATACGACGTAACGGTTCACTTCTGAACTACTTTTGTTCTCCGACTTGCGTTCTGTCTCATTTATATAATAAATCTTGATAGAAAACTGTCTTTATAACAATTATCACATTTAA